TTTAGCTGGCTCGGGCCAGATTTGAACCCGCCAGCCTGGGGGTATGTGGCTGGCACCCTACCCACTGAGTTATGGGTGCCACCATAATGGCAGTTCTTTAACATCTTAATCTGATAACTCCAAAATCTGGATCACCCACAGCAGATGTCAGCAAACCATGTCTTGTGGGCCAAATCTGACCTACAGCCTGTTTTGTAAGGTCTGCAAGCTAGCTTTTAATTTTTTTAAGATTTTTTTTTTTAAAGAATATATAGTATGCAACAGAGGCTGTATATAGCCTGTAAAATTTAAAATATTTACTATTTGGACCTTTGTAGAAAAGGTTTGACAACCCTTGACTTTTAGGTCTGTTTCTATTTTCTATTTCTTAATAGACATTAATAAGCCCAGAAATCATTTTTTAGCATTAGTGTTAATTTATTATAGTTTATTAAATCAAGTAGAAATTTTTTTAATAAAGTATACAGTTTAGTGAGTTTTTTTTTTTTTAATTGAGACAGAGTCTCACTTTGTCACCCTCTGTACAGTGCTGTGTCCTCATAGCTCACAGCAACCTCAAACTCTTGGGTGGGCTCAAGTGATTCTCTTGCCTCAGCCTCCCTAGTAGCTGGGACTATAGGTGCCCGTCACAACACCTGGCTATTTTTTTTGTTGTTGTTCAGCAAGCCTGGGCCAGGTTCGAACCCACCAGCCCTGGTGTATGTGGCCGGTGCCCTAACCACTGAGTACGGGCTCCCCCAGTTAGTGAGTTTTTAATTACACACATATTCACCTAACCATGATACAAATCAAGATAGAAAACATTTATGACACCCCAAAAGGCCCCTTTAAACTCCCTGACAATATATGTATATTCTCCTCCAACTTTTATCACCATAGATCCTTTTGTTTGTTCTTAAGCTTTATGTAGGTGGGATTATGTTTTATTTTCTCTTTTCTGTTCACTTTCTTTCAATGTGTGTCTGTAACATTCATCCATATCGTTGCACGTGGTAGTTTAGCCTTTGTATTGCTGTGTACACGTAATATTCCACTGTGTGAATATTTTGGTTTATCTACATTGGTAGATATCTGGGTTTTATCTCTTGTATTTAGGCCTGTAATCTATCTGGAATTGTTATATGTCAGGTTTCATGTTATCCGCATAGATATCCCATTTGACCAAGGGCCATTTGTGTGTAAGACCGTATGTGGGGTGCCTTTTGTTGTAAACCAGGTGGCCGTTCATCTGAGGGTCTGTCCCTGTGATCTCTGTTTGGCCCCATTAGTCTGTTTATGCTCCATGTTATTTCTACTCTGTCTTCATGACTGAGATTTTTTCCTTATTCTTACATAGATCCCAGCAGAATAAAGGGTTTTAAATCCCATTTTTTCAGGGATTATAGGTCTTTAGAAGTCTTATGCCAGATAAACCAAGTATGCTGAAGAAAGAATTCCTATTTTAGGTAAAAGATGTATTAGAAATCTGCTGCGCCCCCGCCACATGGTTCCGTGTGGCTCAGAGGGTGTCGCTGCCTTGGTGCTATAAATGTTCTTCACAGCTCTCATGCTTTCTTTTTTCCCCAACTAGCCTCCCCCTAACTTCCCACTCCAGCCAAAAAAAGATGCACTGTATAAAGGCTCTGATGAAAAAAAATTCTTTTAAGTGAATTATTAATCTTGAACTTTAGCAGATAAAAAACTATTTAGTTTTGAATTGGTTTTGGCTCTTAGTTTTTCCTTTATGTGTCAGAGTATAATGGTTCTTTGTCCTTTAATTGTTTTAGGTTTTATTTTTGTTTGTTTGTTTGTAGACAGAATCTCACTCTGTTGTCCCAGGCTAGAGTGCAGTGAGTGACCTCAGCCTAGCTCAGAGCAACCTCCAGTTCTTGGGCTCAAGCAATCCTCCTGCCTCAGCCTCCTGAGTAGCTGAGACGAACAGCTGTGCACCACCATACCTGGCCACTTTTTCTGTTTTTAATAGAGACGGGGTCTCACTTTGCTCAGGCTATTTCCAAACTCCTAAGCTCAAGGGATCTTCCCGCCTCAGCTTCCCAGAGTGCTAGGATTATAGGTATAAGCCACCACACCTAGTATTTTTCTCTGGCTCTTTTTCTTTTTATCATTAGTATCTATTAATCTTTTCTTAATTACATCTTAAATAATATTTTAATTAAAAAAAGTTAAGGGGCAGCTCGGCGCCTGTGGCTCAAGCAGCTAAGGCGCCAGCCACGTACACCCAAGGTGGCGGGTTTGAA